TGTGGAAGGCCTGGAGGGTGGTGAGGGTTCGAATCCACGGGGAGTTCGTTCCAGAGGGTCGGAGCAGCCACAGAGAAGGCCCTCCTCCGGGTAGTCGCCAGTCGACACTGGCCGGCAGATGGAATTCGGAGGCGGCCTAATCTGTGGGATCTAATCGGTCTAGTGGAGGTAATTGGCAGCAAGCGGTCTCTCAACTTCTGTTGAAGTCCGTCTGTCTTGTTAGGTTGCAGAACCAAACCAGACAGTTACGGAGGTGCAGATGACAGACTCAATATTTCCTCTGTAGAACCGAATCAGCAGCTCTTTGGTCAGTTTGAGCTTCCTGAGTTGGCGCAGAAAGAACATTCTTGGTTGTGGGTTTTTTTTATGACGTTTTTGATGTTAGTCGTTTTAGGTGGCAAGAAAAGAAACTCGGTTGTGAGAACAGACTATTTAAAAAGCTGCGGTCAGTGTACATCAATGTAAAATAGGAAATATAGGCGATCTCTTGATATCGCTTTCCCTTCTTCTAGCTCTGGCATTTTCTCAACGGTAACAAAAAACCGCCTGGCGGGGACTCAGCTATGCCCCTTGTAACCCGCTTGCAAGTTTGGCTTCTGAAGTTCGGCTCCACCAGCCAGCCCTTCTCATGGACTTTTTGGCCCTTCAGATCGACTTTGCAATGCTGAATGATATATGGCGATGGCCCTCTTCTATGATTGGCTAAAGATTGGGGTGGGTGACATTTTAATTGGCCCTTTGACTAGATTCCTATGGAATAGCTAAGTGGAAGGATCTGAAAAAGAAGTGACATAGGAGAAAGAGCTTGACTTCAATCGCCATATAAAGCAACTAACATCTTACTTCCTGACCAGAAACTAATATCCTTGGAGACAAATTCAAGAGATTTCAAGATTTGCACTTTCTAATTACTGGTGGTGCTTAACAGTTCAAAAGGCTGTGTCTTCTATTCTGGCAAATCTTTTTTTTTTTTTTAAGTAACTTTAGCTTCTGTGTTCAACTCTGCAGATTTTCTTTTAAAGAACAACATTTTCGGGGTAAGGATCCTTGGTGAATCGATTTATGAACTAAATTAAACTACTCTGGATCTGATCCACAATTGTCGGAAGTTAATATCTTGGATTTTGACAGCACAAAAGACTATTGAAACATTGTAAGGACTTGTATATTTGACATAGCAAAGGCGCATTGGACAATTGTGAGACCCATTCCTGAACTTGGTTGGTATTTTTGGCTGGGAAACGGATCTCCGCGGGTCTGAAGAATCACCTAACACTCACCAGCAACCAGGGAAGCGGCAACAGCAAATGAATGTGAACATGGAAACAATCTTTTTTCAAAAAATTCGTTAACAAAACATCTCAGAATCCAAGAAAAAGGGACCCTGTCTGTAACTTGCACACGATTAAGGCTCAGTTGTGTTTGCTGGTGAAGAACATCTAAGGTGGATGAAAGTTGTTCAAGCAAGGAAGTTCTAACTCCCCATTTCTCAGAACATCTGGCGGAACAGATATATTTCTGCTCTTAATTTGGAGTAGTGTTAAGTTTTTCCTCCTAGTGAAGAAATTGTTGAACACTTGCTGAAACCCAGCACCAATTCCGTAGCATTGCAGAAATATTGAAAGTTCTGGGTCTGAAGTTAGGTTCCTGAATCTGCTAGAATGGAAGAGTTCTGGGTGGTCTACCTGTGCATGATTTTGTTTGTCTTAGTCCTTATTTTGATGAATCGGAAGCCAGATGATGAGAAGCCCTCAACTTCCTATAGTCAGTTTGCCAGCAGTGCCGGAAAACCCCTGGAATATACGGAAGAAGAACTGGAGGCCTCCATGCAGAAGCTAACTGGGCTTTTATTTGGAAAAAAGGAACCTCACTCTGATCACAGTGTCCACCAGAGAGAATCTTCAGGAAAAGAGCATCAGGTGAGCCACCGTAAAATCCAGGTAAAATGAGATAAAATGTAAGAGGTCTCTTGAAGTCCTCAGCCTTCAAGGTGTAACCAGCCAAGGTCATTCAGACCGGTGATGTCTTCTTCAATCGACACGTCCACCTTTGAGGTAGCTACACATGGGTTTAGTCCCATCTTGCATTTTGGTGGTTCCATTATTCAACCGCTTTTGAATTTTCATGGGTGGAAGGAGAATTTTCCTCCATAATTGCCTCTGAGATCTTGTAAACTCAGGCTGGTGGTATTAGTGTCTTCTGCTGACCTCTGTTCCAAGTCCCTGAAATTTCTCCCAAGAACCAAAGTCTTCTCCTTGGATTCTTAATTTCCCATAAGGTGTCCAAAATAGCCAAGCTTTAGCTTCATTACTAGGTTGTTTTTTTTCCGCAAGCAATTTGGTTTTTATTATTTGTTCTTTTGGCAGTGAACTATATATTTTTCCAAAATCACAATTCCAAAGCACCCAGGTAGTTTCATTCGTGTCTTCTGATTGCCTAGCTTTCTGTACCTTATCTTTCCATCAGGGTTGCTGTCAGTTTTACTACCGGTTTGCAACCTGTGCCGCGTGCATCGTTCAACGTAAAATGTTCTTCACGCATGCGCGGAACAATTTACAGTGAACCGCGAATGCACAGACACTAAAAACAAAAATGGCAGCGTCCCAGTGGTGGCAAGGGAACCGGTTCGGGGGCGTGGCAGGCCTGGGTTGCTGCTGATTCTGCGATCCAGGCCTGAATTCCACTAGCGGGACAGCCGAACTGGGAGCAAACCACCTCTGGTTACCATGGGAAAGAATATGGTCTTGGCTACAATTGTCTAGGCAAATTTGGGGTTGAGTTTATTCGTGGTTCAGCAGATGGTGAAAAACCTAGAGGCTTTCTTTGCTGGTTGTATTTTGGCTTCTCATCCTTATGCAATTGTATAGGCTTTTTAGAAACAGAATAACAGAATTGGAAGGGACCTTGGAGGTCTTCTAGTCCAACCCCCATGGTTGTCAGGCAGGAAACCTGATACCATTTCAGACAAATGGCTGTCCAACCTCTTCTTAAAGACTTCCAGCGTTGGAGCATCCACAACTTCTGGAGGAAAGTTGTTCCACTGATTAATTGTTCTAAACTATCAGGAAATCCCTCCTTAATTCCAGGTTGCCTCTCTCCTTGATTAGTTTCCATCCACTGCTTCTTGCTGTGCTTTCAGATGCTATGGAGAATAAATCGACACACACACACCCCTCTTCTTTGGGCATAGCATATTAAATGACTACAGAATGCAGTGTCGTTAACCTGGGTTGTGTATTTGATTTAATGGCCTACTAACAGGTTGTGTGGACCAGCAAACCATGATTAGATAAATGAGCTCTTAGCACTACTATAGACCCTGTCTATAACTGGCCTGCATATCTGCAAGAAGATTCATCAAGACAACTGCATCTAATAACTCATCCATATATATTTAACAAGACAGAAGGTCAAGGCAGTAGAAGAAGGTATTCCTGCTATTTAACTAACTACCACTTTTAATTATTTGCAAATCTACTGGCTGATTTAGTACAAATCCTGCCCTGCTACCTGTCTGTCTTGGTGAACAAATCCCAAAGAGACTATTTGAAGTTCAGCCCAACATTGATGGCCCTCAAGCCATGTTCTCCTAAAATGGACATCCAGATTATAGAGTTGGCCATGGACTATTTATCACACGCTTCATATCTGTTTCAGTGTGACCCATTAATACACCTTCTGGTCTTCCTTGGCACCAGAAGGAAGGCCACTAAATCACTGAACACTCATCCCTGTTTAGGCCTGGTTAAATCCTCTGTGGCCTGCAGAGCAGAAACCAGGCAAAATACATTCTAGACTCAAATCTGGTTTGTAAATTGTGGTTTGTGGCTTGGTGTGTTCCATGAATCCACGTGATGTGGCTTATTCCACAAGCCGTAGTTAATATAATAACAGAGTTGGAAGGGACCTTGGAGATCTTCTAGTCCAACCCCCTGCTTAGGCAGGAAACCCTACACCAGACAAATGGCTATCCAACATCATCTTTAAAACTCCCACTGTTGGAGCATTCACAACTTCTGGAGGCAAGTTGTTCCACTGATTAATTGTTCTCACTGTCAGGAAATTTCTCCTCAGTTCTAAGTTGCTTCTCTCCTTGATTAGTTTCCACCCATTGCTTCTTGTTCTGCCCTCACAGGTGCTTTGGAGAATAGTTTGACTCCCTCTTCTTTGTGGCAACCCCTGAGATATTGGAAGAGTGCAATCATGTCTCCCCTGGTCTTTCTTTTCATTAAACTAGAGAAACCCAGTTCCTGCAGGAGTTAAAAACTTGATTCATCAAGTTTTAAGGGATTGAAAAGGAAA